TTTTTTACTCAAAGTTCTACCCCTAGTGTGGGCTTATAGTTATACCAATATGGTTTATTCCCCTTCCTCAGGGCCAGCTCCAGGCACCAGCCCAGCAAGCAGGTGCTTGGGGCGGCCAAAGGGAAGGGGCGGCATGTTGGGCTCTTCAGCGGCAAGTCCCTCGGTCCCTCTCCGAGGGAAGGACCTGCTGCCAAAGAAGAAAGCAGCGTGGTCGAGCTGCCGCCGATCGCGACTTTTTTTTTTTCCCCCCTGACACTTGGGGCGGCAAAAACCCTGGAGCTGGCCCTGCCCTTCCTGTGTGGTATACCTGCACCCACCCTAATGAGAGTCGTATTGCTTTAATTATACCAGTATAGTTAAAGCAGCACATCTTGTGTGTGTGTGTGTGTACTTAACCCCTTAATCCAGTTTAAGAGTGGTTTACTTCTGTTTAGCTCAATGGCTTTGCTGCTATAGCTGTACCAATATATTAAACTGGCAACGCGCTCCTAAAGTGGACGCAGCTTATACCAGCAAAACTGTGGTTTCACTAGTGTAACTTATTCCAGTGGGCCCCCTCCCCCGTGAGAGAAAAGTGCAGTTTTGCCGGTATAACTATAGCTACACTAAGGGCTTTTGCTGGCTGTATTGGTCACAAATCACACCCCCGACTGACATTGCTATGCCAGCAAAAGTTTTTAGGGTAGATCTGGCTTTAGTCAGTTAGAAAGAGGTTTAATTAAACCAAAGTAAGAGCATCCGCATGCCGCCTTTTGCACCGGTTAAATTGTCTTTTTTAAACGGATACAATTTAAAGTTAGACTGTGAAGCTTTCCCACGTAGACAAGCCCTTACAAACTGAGAGAAGAGATTGCAACAGGATCATGTCAGGTCCCGCATACTGTGTACGTGAACAGGAAATTGCCAAGACATCCCATCCCCCATTATGGAATAGTCAGGCCCTTTGTTTTCAGTTTTTACCGATTTTTACCAAAAGTTTCCCGGGCTTTACAAAAGCCATTATTTGGTTTTTACCAATTTCCCCCCCAAATTTTGGAAGTGCCGGAAATCCCACGAACCGCCTCCCCGCTCTGGAATGAGAGATGGTGGCTCGGTGTTACCTGGCCCTGAGAGTTGGATACCACCAGAATTATCTCCCCTTCCCTGAACTGCAGATAATTTTCATCATCTGACGTGTGAGTCTGGATTGCTTGAGCCTGGAATGGGAAAGATGGGATTAGTGAGAAGTTACTTTCCTTAGAATCACTGACCCTTTCCCCACCAGCAGGATGAGATGGTACATGGTGGAATTTGGATACATACATTGTGTCAGAATGGTGCAATTGTCTTTTGATAGCCACATTCCATACCATGTGTAATTGCTTAATCAGCAGGTCCCTTTCAGATGACACCCCAGGGAGCAGCACATACACCCAGACTGGGAATACTGCTAGGAACGGCTGCTGTACATTGAGGGCACGGACGCCAAAAAAAATATGCATCTGAAGGCAGAATTTGGCCCTGGGAACCAATTTTTTTTTAAAAGTAGCGATGGAGCAGGCAGGCAGAACGTGGATTCCCCTGGGATTATCCTGCCTGAAAGTCCGAAATTTGTGTGTCCCTAAAATGTGAATGCAAAGGGCTGCTGCTGGTGCCATCTGAGGAGGGCAACAATCCCCCCTCCCGCAAGCTGCTGATTACATCACACAGCTGATTGCCATCACATTGTTCACTCTGCTTGTGTGTGGTGTCGCTTTCCCCTATCGGTCATCTGCACTGTCTATAATTATCAGCTCTTCCTGGCAGACACGATTTTGTGTTTGTACAGCACTTCCCACAAAGGGGCCCCAGTCTCGGCTGGTTCCCTAGGCACTACCGTAATATGCATGCTTAATAACAGTAATGAAGAATATTGACAGAGGCCAGGATTACACTACAGAGTTTCATCAACATGGTTCTGTCAATCAGAGGTGTGAAAAAAACACACCCTTGACTGACAGAGGTATGTCGGCAAAACCCCCTATGTACACCAGAAAAAGAGTCCTTTTGCTGGTATGGCTTATGTTGTTGCGTTTTAACTATCCTGGGAAAATAACTCCTCTTGCTGGTATAAGCAGTGTCTTTACTAGGAAGCACTGCTGGTACAGCCGGTGTAGTGTCAACAAGCCCCCTGGCACCAGCGAAACACACAATTCCTTTGCTGAAGGTCAGCCTTTGAATCAACCCCAGCTGTGTCATTATTGGGAATTCATATTAGACTAGCACTTAGAGGCCCCAACTGGGATTAGGACCCCGGTGTGCTAGGTGCTGTACAACGCCATAGGATGAAATGGTCCATGAAGAACTTACGGTCTAAATAAATAAGACAAAGGATGGGAGGGGAAACAGAGGCAAGGAGCAATGTGCTCAAGGTCACACATCAGGTCAATGAACAGAATCCTGGTCTCCCGACTCCCAGGCCTGTGTCCTAGCCACTAGACCAGCTCTGCTCAGCCTTATGTTACAGCAGGTAGTTGGTGTTTCTTAGACTATAAGAACGGCCAGACTGGGTCAGACCAATGGTCCACCTAGCCCAGTATCCTGTCTTCCAACTGTGGCCAAGGCCAGGTGCCCCACAGGGAATGAACAGAACAGGGAATCATCAAGTGATCCATCCCCGGTCGCCCATTCCCAGCTTCTGGGACTAGGCTAGGGACGCCATTGATGGACCTATCCTTCATGAACTTACCTAGTTCTTTTTTGAACCCTTTTAGAGTCTTGACCTTCACAACATCCTCTGGCAAGGAGTTCCACAGGTTGACTGTTGTGTGAAGAAATACTTCCTTTTGTTTATTTTAAACCTGCTGCCTATTAATTTAATTTGGTGACCCCTGGTTCTTGCGTTATGTGTAGGGTGACCAGATGTCCCGTTTTTAAACGGACAGTCCTATTTTTTGGGACTTTTCTTATATAGGCGCCTATTACCCGCCACCCCCTGTCCCGTTTTTTTCACAGTTGCTATCTGGTCATCCTAGTCATGAGAAGGAGTAAATAACACTTCCTTATTTATGTTCTCCACACCAGGCATGATTTTATAGACCTCTATCATATCCCCCCTTAGTTGCATTCTTACCTTGAAGAGGAAGTCCACAGGCAGCTCATGACTGCTGTTGCCTGTTTCACCATCTGGGGTGAAGCCAAACATGATCTGAAATTAGAAAGACATTTTATGGGTTCGGTTACTCTAGCTTCTTTGCCCATGCACAGAACTATCCCTTTGGCTGGCCCTCTTGGGCTGCTGGTGGCGTCACAGACAAAACAGAAAGCAATTTTGCAAAATAGTTTTTAGAAGATACGACGTAGGAGCTATAGTTGGGAACCAGAACTAATCCGGTCTTTCGGAGTCCCTGCTTTCTTCAGTGGATTCCCAGATCTTCTGTTTTAGATCCAGGTGCTGCTACTCTTACATGGCCAGCAGCCCTCTGGAGAAACTGAGACTACACCCAGGGTGAAGCACTAACAATTGCGTGTCAGGATATAGGACAAGTTGACCCTGCAACATTTCCACTCCTCAGTCAACTCCTATCAAGGAAGAGATTCACAGGTGCAGATCACTAACGGGGAACGCTAAGCAGCTTCATGTCCATCGGAGGAGCTTTGCACACAGCACGGATCATTTGCTCCTCACGGGGAAAGCCACAAACTTGGGTTAAACTTTGCTTTATCATCATCCTATCACTCGTACTGCAATAGCGTCTAGGAGCCCCAGTCACGGACCAGAACCCCACTGCGCTAGGTGCTGTACAATGACAGCGATTGGATGCAGTTTGTTTCCTCCCAAATAGGCTCTCTCTTTTTCACAGCTGATAACAAGCAGCACGACTAGGCCAAGCGAGTGTGCTCGTTTTTAAACACGTGCTGACTGGAAACACCTTTTGCTGTGGTTTCGGGACAAGAGAGGCACAAACCCCACTATAATTCAGCAGCCGTTGGGTGCCTAAATCCCTTAAATTTTATGAAAATCCCAGCCTTCCTGTGCAACAAGAGCCTGGGAAATGGATGCGTGAGGGAGAGGCTAAAAATACACATTGATCTTCAGGGCACTTGTGAGCACTTCTGGGTGTGGGAAAAAACGTCATATTTGGGAGGGCTGGAGACATCGAAGGGAGCCATAGGGAACATATCGTTGTGTGAGAAATGACTATCCAAACACAACTGGGTTTGGAACAAAAGGAGGAGGAAACTAGTCTTATTCAGCAAATACTTTCCAGTTAAAAAAAAGCAAACCACATCATGGAGTGACCCAATTTCTTGCTGCTGGGAACTGCTCTCCTCCCCGCATTGTCCTGCAAGCTGAACAGGGGAGCCTTGGAAGCTGGGAAACTTGCAACATATTTTGCCATGAGCAAATTGCTTTTCAGCTGCAAAGGCTCGTGTAGGCAACAGACCCAGGTGAGTGTCCTGATACAGGCCCTGGTTGTCAGTAACATTTCTAGCAAGGACAAGTACAATTCAAACGGGTCTCCTCTCTGGGTCCTCGCACCTCACGCCCGGCTTCTCCAGTAGCCTCCCTTTCATCTCCTCAATGCACCCGCTTGCTCATTACTCCCATGTTATAGCAGATAGCTGCAATGACTTTACTTCAGGCCACTGGTCAGCAGCCAAACCCTTGTCCCAGATTCCTTCTGTTGTCTCTTACCTGCGTTTCAGTCACCGTTGGGGAAATGTTTAGTTCTTCCATGCTCCCCTCGCTGTCCCGGTCCTCTTCGGCCTCCCTGCTTGGCTGGCAAAGGGTCCGCTCAGTCTCGGGTTGTGGCTGCTTCTGGCCTTTGGCCCGTTCCTCTGCTTCGGGTGGACTGGAGCCACTGGTGCTGGCTGGGTCTTGATGGACTTCGTGGACTGGGGTGGGAGGGGGAGAATCTTTGTCAGGAGGGTATGTGGCATTTTCAGGGCAAACTGAAACCTCACCGAGGGGCATCCCGTTTCCTGGCTGACTTGATTCTTGCTGGGGAGCTGGGGGTTGGGTATCTCCTGATGGCTCCATCTCCTCTCTCAGGTCAGGTGAAGGGGGTGCTTGCAGAGATGGGATTTCATGGCTCGCCTGGAGTACAGAGCATTCATTTCCCCCCTGCAGTTCGCTAGCGTCGGCCTCAAGGCTCTCTGGAGTCTGGGTCTGGGCTGATGCACCATCAAGGGGCGGCGGAGACGTTTTGGCTTTGCACACCACCTCCGCTATAGCGGCAGATAGAATCTCCACAGCCGTAGCTGCTGCAACATCTTCAACTCCCCTGGGTTGATCCCGAGTCCCAGTTTGATTTTCATCCTGGAGTTCATTGGCACTGGAAGACTCTGCCTCCACCTCTGCCGCTGACCGGGATTCTCTCTTGTCATGCGTCGGAACAGCAGGAGAGGTCGGTGTCTCATCCTGGATTTCACTGGCACCAGAGGACACGGACTCCACGTCTGCTGCTGACATGGAGTCTCTTTTGTCGGGTGTCAAAACAGCAGCAGGAGACGCCGGCCGCTCATCCTGGATTTCGCTGCCACCAGAGGATGCGGCCTCCCCCTCTGCTGCTGAAGAAACCGATTCTCTCTTGTGACACGTTGAATTGTCAGGAGGCAGCGCAGGGGTCCCATCTGCAGCATCTCCCAGTGATGTGAAAACGACAGGAGGACGACTCACCGGGGAGGAGATGACCAGCGAACGCCTGTTACTGCATTAAAGAAGACATCGCTTTTACTTGCATAGGCCGTTCTTTCTGTGACACAGGTTACCTATCTAAGTACTTTGCACCTACTCCAGGACGCTGCACCCTACATTAACACCCCCCCCCCCAATGCATATAACCCCAGCAAGAGTACGACCGGGCTGTAGGCTCCAAACAGACAGACTGCAACAACCAAAATGCACGTTTCCTAGATCCCCAGACGTCTTTAACTAATCCCTGTGTAGTGACCGTCAGCTTGGCCTTCACCAGGGATTTCCACAGCTAAAGCATGAGCCTCTAGGACGAACTAAAGGATGAATTCCCCTAGCTTTGAACTGCAGCAAACTTATTCTCTCTGGGTCAGGCCCAGAGTAGGGGTGTGAGGTCTAAACCACACCTTAACCAGTGGGTTATATTGGCTGAAATGTGTGAGATTGCCACAGGAGGGCAATGACTATACCCACTTATTTCAGAGTAGCAGCCGTGTTAGTCTGTATCCGCAAAAAGAAGAACAGGAGTACTTGTGGCACCTTAGAGGCTAACAAATTTATTAGAGCATAAGCTTTCGTGGACTACAGCCCACTTCTTCGGATGCATATCGAAGAAGTGGGCTGTAGTCCA